GTTTAGCCACAAACTTCCGTGCCGTATAGCGTGAATAACCCTGTATAGTCTCAGAGAAAATAGAATTTGAAGTTAGTTTGGGTTAGTTGGTTGGGTTAGTCTTAGTAGGTTAGTTAGTAATAGTTGTTTGCACAGTTGCAATAGTTATTTGCCCATAACTCCGCAACTGTTGGCAATATTTTAAAATGAAGAAATACTCTGGGTTGCCACAAGAGTTCCGCTGTCCCGAAAAAAATCGACATTGGCAACGGTTTAGGGGATAATGAACCCTGAATGTTGGCAATCGTTGGACTGTGCCATTTGCGCATACCTTTACTATTTTGCTACTTTAACTTTGTTGAATGTCAAGATATTTGAAAAGTTCCAAAATCACCAAAAAGCCTAAAGAACTAGCGCTTAAAGCCTTAAATTTGAAGGGAAGAAAAGTGTACACACTTTAGAAAAAACATTTTTGAGAACGTTTTTTTTTGTTTTAGTTGAAAAAGTAGACATTTTCGAAGACTTTAATGCCAAATAGATGATTTTCCAAGCAAAATGTTGAGTACCCGAATTTTGGGAAGAATGTAATTTTGTGCCTATGGAGGCTCCTTTTTTAAATTGTGGTTAAAACGTGTCTTTCTTTGTGCGTGCATGATAAATAAAGTAATATTTAATTACAGCTAAATGTCTCAAGATACATCATCATCTTTATATTCAATCGAATAATTTGTTTGTTAGAAAGGGCGGTTAGCTGTGCTTTCCTTTCATTACTTAGTCAAAGCCCTTAACGTGGTGACAAGATTCAAATTATAATTCAAATATTTACATATTTAAACTGCTGATAACAATCGGTTAGAATTCAAGTCAAAATCCCTATTTAACAGAATTTCTATATTTTTTCCATTGTTGTCTCAGAATGATTGTTTCGCAAAGCCAATAAAAAAACGCTGTTATTAGTGAATAAAAGCACTTGAAAAAATTACCTGTTTTATACGAAGAAAATTCTAAGAGAAACAAAAATAAGTGAGCTCTAAATTCGAAAAAGTTGTTATTTAAAAGTCGCCTCTAAAATCCACAAAGCTGCACATGCGAGCAGCGTAAATGCTATCACAGAAAAACTACAACCCTGGTTGCCATCTACTGCTGCAAAATATGTAGAATGCTATCCGGATCCAGACCGCATAAAATTCCTTAAAATCCCGATTTATTGTCAAAAAACTCATCTAGTGGCTGTTGGTCTCCGTAAAATCTTGAACTGGACCACTTACAGCCTGAATGGTGCGGTGGGCAAAAATCTGAAATATATCGGACGGATCCTGGCCGCTGAAACTTCCCACCACGAATCGTTTGAGAAAAAATATATTTTTTTAGAGTATGAAATTTGGGCAAAACAGGTCAATATCTGAATAAGTAGTCCAATCCCAGCCAGCCTCTTAGGGCGCTATCCGCTAAACCATCAGGAAGCAATAAAGTTTCACATTCCTTTAGGCATTTTGGTCTGAATTCTGCGATTCTGCGCTATTTTAACATTTGAATGCAGCCCAGATTACCTGCCGCGAGAAAAAAGTTATAGTTCACTATAACTCCTAAGTCCGAAGTCCTATTATACATTCTCTATTTTATATAAAAGCAAGTATGCAAACTATATCCCTTATAGCTGGGATTTTTTTAACWCTCCAGATTCTAAAGCAGAATTCTAATAATACGTGATGTAGTTTATTCAGCACCAATCAACSTTTTCAATGATACCAATGTTTCATTCATTCCGACTCCAGAATTACGTTGTTATTGTCCGTTAAATTCAATCWGAGGGTGCAAAGGGCATTCAGATTCTTCAATAATAGCATTAAATGTTAAAATGAGGTGCTTTTTTTTTGCATGCAACGACTGTTTTTGATGTTCAGCAAACCTTTGGCAAATATTGATCATTATTTGAGTCACACTTCGTTCGTCATCTTGCAAATTTTTAATCGATTATACTAAATTGTAGAAGATAACTTTTTTAATATCGAAAATTTTCGTAATTTGAAGCAAATAWCGTAATTTTTYTTTTGGAATGCTTAAGTATTCCAATAWGCTTCCAGTKAAACATGGAACAATTTCAAAATAATGCTTAATAACAAAGTTGAAATTCGATCTTCAACTGTTAATATCTTCTAGAAATTTTAGMAAAAATAAGTTTCMWTATTTTTCTCGTACTCCCCAAGSGAGCCTCTATCACCCCTTAAAAGGAATGACGTCAATTTTGAATCATCCTGTATATATTTTTTCAATGTTATTGCTATGTCCAATTTGTTACTCTCGAGTGCTCAAAATTGTTATTTCAGTTCTATGTTCTAAGCAACAGCAGATTACTTACTTATATTTTACACTTTTTCCATTTGCTTTCAGTAAAGTAGCTAACTTTATGCTTTTAAAATTAAAATGTTTATATGAAAAGTGGTACAAAAGTAACATCTTACGAAATGGTGTGCAACCCACAGAGTAACCAAAATTGTTCTTTATCTTAAATATTCCACTAGTTTTCCGTATGTATTTTATTTTTACTATTACTACTATTATTATGACAAAATTATTATTAGTATAATGTGTTACATGCGATATGCTACAAGATATAGGTGAATCTGGAAATTAGATACTTCGTTAATGTTAAAGGGTGTAAGGGAGGAAGGACGAAACAGCGCTGAAAACAGAGTCTTTATCCTTTATCGGGTGTTAGTTTACAAAATGTTTTTAGTAGTAATTAAGCACTGCTACACAACGCCTGTTTAATCTACATAAGGATTAAATTTGAGTAATCAATTTCGATCTCTCATTATAAATAAAGTTCTAAAGTAACAAAGGCTAGGCATAGGTTTTTAATGATGTTGGACTATCGAATTCACTAAAATCTATAAATCTCAATCGGAGTGAAAATTTAAGTTTCAAAGAGACTCGATAATGATAGCGAGTAAGTAAACGATTATTGTTTAAGGTAGTGATAATAAACGCTTTCAGTATTATCCTTAAATAATTTTTCAGTTGTATTGTAGGAATTTTAACTTCAAAAATGCGTATTTCGGATCGGGAGCTGAAATACTTTGCCATACTGAATTGTGTTGGGCTGAAGTTGCTTCTGAAATATTTATGAAAAGGTATATTTGTAAGTCGTTCTTTAAAAGTAACTTTAAAAATAAATTTCAAAACTATTAGCAGAAAGAAGCGAGAAAGAAGAATGTGGAATTAAATTGGGAGATTGTAATGTCAATGGTTTTTGTAAACTACCACAAGAGCGAAAAAATCTTTGAATCTGTTTTTTTACTCAAATACAGGTTTTTTCCTTGGGTATATTTTAGACAAATGTATAACGATGTGCCTTCCTGATACTGATGTTCCTCCAATTAAACAGAGCCCGAATAAACGAATAAAGTGGAGAAATAATAATAAAGAAGTTATTAACGCAATAAAAGCACAGAAACAAGAAATATCCGCTGACCGGGCAGGCTTGATGTCGTTAATAAGTTAATTGCATAAAATAAGCAAAACTAATATTTAGTAGTATATGAACTCGTGTTTAACCATAGTTTATACGATATAAATTTTCTCCAAAAGAAAAACCGAAAGTGGAGAGACGAAATTGTTAGATTATGAAACATAATTTTCACAATACGTAATTTAATACATAATGTAGGCCTTATAATACTATTAAACATTCTATTCTATCTACAAATCTTCTCTTACTTATCAAACCAATTGTCGATGTACTAAATATTATTTTCTATTGATTTTTCGTTTACTATTTATTATAACAAATAATTAAATGTTGATTAACGTTCTGAAATTGGAAGTAAGTTAAACTTAATATAAAAGGTGGATAGATTTTTTCTCATGTAAGATTCCAAATTTTCAAAATTCCAAAGCGTCTGGGAGATTTAATCTCTTTCTCCGAATCAATTGGAAAAACTTTTTCTTCAGGTTTTCTACTTTTTCAGATTTACAAGGCACAATAGAAACTGTTAATAAATTATCAACGGAAAATAAACACGTGAGCTGCTCTAGAGCAAATTCAATTTCAACTTTGTATGGATCAACCAAATCAACCATCAATAGGTAAAATAAGTAGATTGTATTGAAAGTGTTTCCTTTTTTTGGAATACAAAAGCATTTATCGTTTTGGAATAAAGATGATTTGAAAATATAACTTCTTTGCTTCAATGCGACTTCTTAAAGGCAAATAAGCACAACATCTCAGGCAAAATATAAAAATCTTAGGCTAAATATAAAAAATAGTTGATGTAAGTACCTCCAGACAAAAGTACATTGATACGTTGTTTTGTACTGATGGACTGACTACTGGCCAGCTAGGTCGGATTTACTCTCAAGTCGCTATTTATGTATTCATATATTTTTAAATTTTAGTACTCTTTTCAACTTTGTTATAAAAATAATAAAATAAATAACAATTAATTTGTTATTTAAAGAAACCTTAACAAATTATTAAAAGGAAAAATCTTTTTGCAAAATACCACCAAAGCAGTTATATAAAATAATCGATAAAAACATTTTTCACGTGAAAACCATGCTTTGAATCGGAGTTCAGTAAATAGCATTAAATCAGAATTTTCGACTCAAAAATTAATTTTGCAAAATATGTGTAATAGTTCTTGGGTTTACATACCTCTTTAAGAAGTTTTTAAGGAGCGGTTTTAAGCAGGATATTTTCGTAACAAACATTTTAAGTACCTATGCTATATGTATACGGTTTTTTCGTCATGTTTCAGCATTCACATTTTGTACATCATACCGTTGATGGAGAGAGTATATACTCTTTCAATCAACGATTATACGTTTAATTAAAACTATCACAGTTAATGTTAGTCAACGAAAGCATGAATGTATTTAAATGTCTCATTTTTAGAGTTATGCTGAATCCACGATGAACGAGTTATTAGGATGGTATGGGTATGATGCATCCAGAAACGATTCCAAAGTATCACGGAATAGACGATCGTTCTCTGAAAGTAATGAATCAGAAGCGGAATCGGTTAAATTTACTGGTAAGGCCAATTTTATATTGATTGAATGAGTTTTGAATTCACAAAAAATCATCATTTTTTCAAAATTTATCAATTTGCAGTAAATATATTTACTTATTAATAATTATTTAGTTTTATTTAATTTTAAATGCATTTTAAATTTTTCTCTGATTTCAATGATGTGCCTGCCAGATGGTAATATTTTCAAAATTTTATTTCAATAGATATTGTTTAAAAAATACCAATTTGACGCTGTATTTGAGTTGTAAGTTAAATTTTTGGATGTTGAAAAACGACCTCCAATCCAATGCTTGGATTGGAAACAATGGTGCGTTAAACTGGCAACCTCAATAGGAAGCTTTCTATCATGCCCATACATTTTTCGGTGTGGGGTTTTATTAAAGATCAGGTTCATAAAACACTCGGTATATTTAGACCAACCTTTCCTATTGCTTGCTTAAAACTGAGCCTATTTTTTACCACAATTAAAAAAAGTTATAAAAATCGCTCAAAAATAACTTCACTGCAAACGAAGAAATTTTCAAACTTGTGCTAGTTGTTTTACTTACTTAGTTTAGTTTTAGTTAGTACTCGTTGTCACTATTTGAGATATTTCGCCGTCATCTTAAACTAATCATAGCCAAATAATGCATAGTCTTTTTGCTTCTTCTTTCTTTCATTGTTTTTTCTTTCTTCTGTTTTTTTTTTGTTCCGAAAACTCTAATATAACCAAAACAAAATTTAAGGTAATTTTCAAAAAGAAGTCTTAAAATGATAAAGAAGCGATACAATTTGCGACTCAAAATCAAGATTGGACTTACATTTTTTAGATAATGAACTTTGGTGATAACTTTTTCGTCCAAAATGTTGGGAAATGTAAACATGTATCATCATTGAAATCAGACAAAATTTTGCATTTAAAAAAATGCGACTTATTCCGCATTAAAAAAATCCAGATTATATCTCTTAAAATACAAGTACAAGAAAATTTCTCAAATTTGATCTCATTAATTGAGCATTAAAATCGAATGAAATGGAGTGAAAATAATTTTTATCGACAACCCTTAGTTTTCGATTTAACTGTTTTTCAACATTCCCGGAACCGAAGAAAATTTGCTAACATTGTCTTCTAGAAAATACTAAAATAGTGGCTCTAGCCATTGGACCACCAATTAAATTACCAAAATTAAGCTGGCTTTACCGGTAAATCTGTTATTACTAAAGTTGGGCTATAGGTTGAAATAGGAAACATATGTATTTCTTTGCCCTGATCACGATGATGTAAATAAAAAAACCAATGGTGATTAAAATTTTCCACATATTTGCAGCTACAGTTTTAGGATTGGCAAGAATAGACATATTTTTTTTGCACCAAAACTATGAATGCTACAAGATTTTGGAAAGAGCACAGAGCACACACACAATTGTGCATAAATGATTAGTGCACCAACAAAAAAAAAGAATTGATTCCATCCACCAAATAAAAAGTACTGGTAGTTTTGGTATTACGACACTTAAGAATTCACCACTTCACCAAAACGGCTGAACTCGATTGTTTCATCAAAAGCACTGTGATTTCACAGCGAGTTTCACCAAAATCCATCGTACCATTCTCCCGATATTTCAAAAAAGATACATTTTTTGAAGAAATTTGACCATCAATAGCAGAGGACTACATTTTTTTTACCAGCCAGACATTTTTTGTTAATAAAAGTTAGTTCACATCGTCTTCTTTTGACCCAAAGAATATCGCAGTACCATTTTGATCATGTGCTTACGGGACACCCTGTAATTATAAAAACTGCCATCATTATTTACTTTATTAATATAAACTGCAGAAAACTTCTGCAGAGGAACGTTTATCGAAACACGTGAGATTTTTGGTAAAAATTTATTAAGAATATAAATAAGTTCTATATTGTTGAGGCGGATTCATTTTTACAAACTTCTTTTTGGGTATTTTGCCTCAAAAATTTTTGTCTTAAAAAAAGACAGAATTTCCTCACGTCTTTTATTACAGATTGATATACCCTCTAGGTGATAGTTCTTGATTACTTTTTGATTTGATAAATAATTCGTTCTTATTGCGAAATAGGAGCACTATTTATCAATCTGTAATAAAAGACGTGAGGAAATTCTGTCTTTTTTAACGACAAAAATTTTTGAGGCGAAATACCCAAAAAGAAGTTTGTAAGAATATAAATGTTTGCTACGKGATTATAAAATTGGACTCCTYGGTTAATTCTTGAACTCTCGGACTCTTGGTATCAACCGAATTTTGAAAATGCCAAACTAACATTAAATAAAAAAAATGTCGTGSTTATATATAAAATATTTTGTTTTAATAATAACAAAAACTTAAGTTGAAAMCCCTTATATTCAAATTTCTTCCCACCCTGTAAACTCCGAGCTGGATAAATAGGATTAAATTGGAATTGAATGTATTTTAAATTTACTAATTGGAGAGTAGTGAAACCCAATAAGTTTTTGTTTGTTTTAATAAGTAACTTAATATTGATTAATGTTTTTTTTCTCAAATAATTGCAATGTTATTTTAATAAAGTATGAATGAAAATCGGAACGGGTATTATTTTTCCAGTTGGAGTCTCTTTCATGCTAATTAAAACTTGATTCTCGTTTAACGATTATATTATGATGGAAAGATGAGTAGATCTAGTGATCAGAAATACTCTTTACATTTAGATGCGCAGTTCAGTTTATTTGTGATCAATAGAGGTATATCATATGGTTTCATGGTTTAATCCAATTTTCATTTGCTTTAAACGTAGTAATAATAATAATTAGCTTGTATCAATCACCTGCTTAGAAAACGTACTCCGAGGACTGTACATAAACAATTTTGATGACATAGAACTAAAAAATAAATTACAGCCCAAAGAATATCTGATAATAGAACACAAATTTTAGTAGAAAAAAATATGGTTTTTTTGTTTTAGAAGGTTGCGGCTGGTGTGGAAAATCGGTGGATGAAAACTCCAGTGTGATTTCTTCATCTGCAGTTTTTTGCTCAGAACTTTGTTTTTCACAGTCGCGGAGAGCCAGTTTTAAGAGAAATAAAACATGTGATTGGTGTCGACTTGCACGGCATACTGTCTCCTATGTGGATTGTCAGGTATATTATTTAACAAGCATTAATGGAAAATATATTCAAAAGCACTTGCGAACGATGAATATCTGTTGTTTCAGTAAGGGGATTAGGTTGACATTTAAGTTTTGCGGTTAAAACCGTCTATAAATATTAAGATTTGTATGTTTTTTTTCAATTTTTGCTATAATTCCAGACAAAATATATATCGTTATATATGATTAAAATGAGAGCGAGAAGACAAAACAATGAAACAACACGTTTTTGAGTCGTTCTAGATACAGAACAGACATATTTTCTGATGAAAAGTGGTTCTGGTGTCAATGTTTACATTTTAAAAATTATGATTCTTTATTATTTGAAGGGGTTTTGCGGTTAATAAACCCCTTACCCGTTGATCTAACTTTTTATGAAAGTTTATTTTGCAGATAAGTTCGATTGTGTTCAAGAAATAAATTTATTTATGGTTTTTATGTTATCATTCTAATCAGCTTAGAAATCAAATGAATGTATCTTCAGTTCTTCTATTATTCTTCTTATTACCTGTTTAAGGAACATTAATGATTTAATTTATCTGGTTGTTTAACGAATTCACTTAAGACTCTAAACTAAATAAACTGGCAGCAGTTTGGAGATAGTAAAATTCAGCAAAGGCTTTACTCTACAACTTGAAGTTTTTGCATCATCTAAATTCTTTGTATGTAGGATAATACACCTATCCATAAAATTAAATCTAATTAATAATTCTGTTTTGTTTTGTAGGATAATGCCGCACAACTTCAATTTTGCTCGGAAAAATGTCTTAATCAATATAAAATGCACATTTTTTGTCGAGAAACTCAAGCCCATTTGGAATTACACCCCCATCTACATGGAGCCGAGTCGACAAGCAGCGGACTAATTACCCCAGATCTTTGGCTGAAAAATTGTACATCTCCTAGTTCAAACAACAGATCATCACCTGTCCTTTCACCTATAGGGACGAATCCTTCTAGTCAGAGTTCTCCGAGAAACCTTACTGTCAACTCGAAGCCAGAGCATGTGCCATTGATTTCTGTAGCACCCAGTTCTAAACTACTTGCGACTGATGTGAAAAGGAACCGCACAAAGGTTTCCAAAAGGTTCAAAAAGAATTGTCCTTCGACTATTACATCCCTTGGTGCTGTCACTTCTTTCAATGACATTCCTCAAGATTTAAGAGTTAGGCAAACTCCACCGCTAGACGAAGTACCAGTAGAAGAGTATGCTTTCAAATCGAGTCCTAAAGACGATGCCAAGCAAGTTAGATCGTCGTTAGAAGAGAACGTTGATTCTCAGAAAAATGACGGTAGTCCATCAGTGGAGGAAGATATATCCGCTCCCAAATTAACTCCGAATAATGTTAGAGCAATTTTGGGTAATATTCTACCACCACCAACAACCTTTGTGCCATATCCAGTTATTCTACCATTACCCATACCGATACCAATACCTATACCAATACCAAAAATGTTTAAAAGTAACAATGGGAAAGACTTAATTGAACTAAAAGACAGTACCACTCAGACGGTGGATGATATTAATATGAACACTAGCAGTATATTGAATGAAAAAAATGAAATTCCTGTTAAACCCGAATCGGCTAAGGTGCTAGTAGGAAATCGAAGACTCCTGAGGAAAAGGAAACAGGTTGATGTGAAATCAAAAACATTTCTCAAGCATCACAAAAAGACATTAAATACATTGCCATAGATTTATTAACATATTTCGTACCGATATTTGATCAAATTATTTCGATTATATTTACTTGTAACTTTTTTATTTGTTCCTAGTTTTAATACATATTTGTTTTTCTTACAAGAAGCTTTTTTAATCAAACCAAAGTTTGGACAAACATATTTAAGGGTTTTCCTTGAAATGTTGCAAGAGTCTATTTTAATTTCTAAATCTCTTGGCAGTTTTATGCAAAGGGCAAAGGCATTGTGCGGCTCATTTGTGAAATGCAGGTCAAGCAACTCACTCAGGTTCATACGTATATCATAGTACTGGAGGCATTCTACATTTCTACCTTCATCCGAATACGTATCCAAATATACATCKACTCCGTCTACTTCTTAGGATAYATTCTCTTTACTCTAATCTGATCAACTATTATACGAATTTTTTTGCGCWTATTCGCACACGCGCTTATTAGATTTTGTTTGGGTTTATCAGTTTGTATAGGGCTTTTACCTCCCTTGAAATTWTATCTCYTACTTGGTAAAAAATTCCTGTTTAGATGTTTATATTCATAGGTTAATAGATACCGGCAGCAAAAACACTTTTTCCTAGCATGAAGAAGGGTCGATTGCATGTCACCAGAGGTAGGTCTAATAAGAATAGACAATTCAGTCAGTCTGCTACYGACCCTTGTTCATSACAAAAAMCACACAAAAATTCATGACCCTTGAGGATGAGTTAAATATAGCAGAAACAAAAGGAAAAAGTGTTTTGTTTCTGCGTCTATGGACCGATTAATCGAACCATCTAAAAGGCCTCTTTTACAAAAGGCCTACAAATAGCATCACGTTTACCACTAAATGACTCGGTATATCCTTTTCTATTTGTGGAATAATTGGAGTAGGTTAAGCAACTCCTGGGAAGAGGTAAAAAAACGCAGAGTTTTTGTAGACATCGGCCGATCGACATTGATTTTGTGCTTTCCACGAAAAGCAAACTGGTAAGGAATTTAAAGTGGAAAACCTTCTTTTGGAGTGTCACGTCTAAATGTAAAATCCGATTTAGTAACAAAACCATCTACTGATGCAGTTCATCGGTAGTGCTTGCTTCTAGATAATTATCTTCCTCTGGGTCGATTTTCTAGAAGGACGTGATTGACAAAACTCCTAATGCGTTGAAAAAAAATGTTGCGGGGGTACAATTGGTAGAAAAATAGTATGTTTTTGTAAAGATGGCAAAAGGAAATAATTTTGACCTCATACAGAGAAGTATAGAGGATCTAAGTCAGTTTAAGCAACTTATATCAAAATTTGTATTTATGTGCAATTAAAAAGATAATTTTCTTACGCCTTTTATTACGAGTTCATAAAGAGCACTCTTACTTCACAATAAGGAACGAATTCGCTATAAAAATGTAATCAAGAAATCTTTATCAAATTAGACCTTAAAAAAGGAATATTAATAAAGTGTGGAATAAGGATAAATTAATTAAAATCAAAGCGATTTTTCTGCAGAAGAGACAAATTTTGCTCCTTCGGAAGAATCGGTGGTATCAAGTTTGATCAATTCAAACCATGAAAGTTTTCACGGCCGGTCGGTGTAAATCCGTAACGAAGCATTTTTGAACTATCGTTTATACAGAAAACTGCGATTATTTTTTATTATTAAAATACTGCCACTTCAGCATAAAATGCCTTGTATACAGACAGATTCCATGAATTACATCGGTACAAAATATTAGTAACGACGAAGTACCCCAGCATATGAGAAAATAAAACGCATTGCCAAATACCATCAAAGAAAGAAAAATTCAATATTTGGGTCATGTGTTGAGAGAGAAAAAATACGCATTACTTCGATTCTGAGAAGGTGGTTTAACCGCTCATCTACAGAAAAAAAATTATGTTGCCGTTACGAAAGCTACAGTTATCATTTGAATTGCAAAACTGCGGAAAGAGAGGGCGCAATAAACGAGAAAGAACGTTTTAGTGGTTACACCAATCAAAAAATAAGAATAGTACTGAGACCTAAGAATCTTAAACGCTGTAATGATGCTTCATAAAAGAAAGTATTTTACAATCGGGGATTTGCGAACTCCTTCCAAGATTTACGAGGGATCTCGTTGAGACTTTCAAATACTCAGATAACTTCAAGAGCAATAAGCTGAAGTAATCAAGTAAGTAGTAAGTATAAGTAGAAATCAAGTAATCAAAGTAAGTGAAAGTAATAAGTTAATAAATAAGGTTAGAGCTGTCAAACAGTTAATACGTCTGGTGCTGACCTATGGATCTCCTGCATCGCCCACGGCGCCTCGCAGTAGCAAGAACTGGCAGTATATCAGAAACTAGCAGTATATCACCAATTGTAGCGAAGGTTACTAACATTTTCTTTCTGTCCGGTTAATTTAAGCCAGCTCCAGGCGAATGGTCGTTTTCAAGGGCTCCCGTAAAAACAGGTTACTTACATAGTATAATTTGAGGTGTTTGCTGTTTTTGTCCGTGTAAAGTTACAATCCCTGGTTCATTTTTGGTCACATTCTCACAACATTCCATTCCCATTTTGTGAGGTTGCGCTCTGCCTGCAGTAATAGAAAACGACGTGTTTGTGACCGATATTCTGTCCTCATCCTGTTGGCCATTTCTACCGTTATGTGTTCAGAATGGATGCCGGTATTCACTTCTCGGCTATTACTGCAAATTAACCTTTCCGGCGAGTTTTGGGACGGTAGGAAGCCTTTCTGGCCTGCCGTCATCCTGTTCCTGTTCAGCCAGATATGGCGAAGTTTTCCTGTATGTCCGACGTTCCATTCGAACTCAACCTAGAACGACCACTCTAAAGAACCGATTTCCGCTGTAAATCAAACCACCAGTAATTGTTTTTCATTGTCCAGTTATTTCAGTTGTCCCGTGGCATTCGTTACCTCAGCAGTCAATACACAATCAGTCGACGCCATCAGCTAGACCGAGATTAAATAACCGCGGGCCGAGAAAATGTGGGAAATGAACGCGGAAACCCCTCGTCCCTTCCGATCTCTGAAATTTTGGTGGCATCAAATTCATTCCGAGCAAAAATTCCCACAATCCCGTCAACCGGTACAAAATATTATTGCGAAATATACGACCAATCACCACCACTGGTTTCTCATACTTCACATAGTAACGACCGCCCCGTTATGCACGTCCTCTCCCCTTTTCTTGTAATTTTGATTTTGTATAGTATAAGGTCGGAAATCTTGTTTCTTTTTCGTTAAATGTAGAATGTTTAATAGGGCCATAAACCTTATTTTGCTTTGTGAAATGTAAAAGCGCCTGCCTTGTATGGGGCGTCAACAATCCTGTTCTATTTCATTTATTATGCCGAATAGACCATTTGTTGATTAACTGCGTTTAATTCTACCCACTGCGTATTGACCCCTGGGTTACTTTCTTTCTCCACCCTATAAAGGCTACCCTAGATGTGGGGCCTTCACCACATAAATCCTGATGGCTGACCGTCCAAGTCCGAACTTGCCCTTGACCAGTAATCAACTCCAGGTGTCTTCATTTCATATTATTTTCTTTCCCGGAACGCAATTACAAAATTGGCCCCCGAGCAGGGAGGTAATTCCCAAATTCACCATTTTCCGGGAACGCCATTACACAATATACTGAAGATAGTAGCAAAGGCTCAATACTTCGTCAGAAATACCACCCTGCGAAAAGACCTACGCACAGAAGACCTACTGGACAACATCCGGAACTTATAGTCAAAGTTTTTGGATAGGATCCGGCAAAGCAAGAATCCCACAGTCAGGGTTGCTTGCACAAAGAAGTACAACCGTGACCGCAGATCTCTGCCTGCGGACACAACCTAAGAAGAAGACGTGGACCACATGTGATGATCAGTTTCTGCACGAACGACATCGCGAACCATGTGCTAGATTTAAAGTAGTATAGGAAGCAAGAGAGGATGTATTAGGTTAAGTTAGGTTTAAATTAGTTTCAGGTAGATTAAGTGAATTGATGTCATATTACCGAAATAATATTTTATAGGTTATACCAAGGTCTTTCACTGCGTTCAATGGCACAACCTTGGCGTATTTTAGATGAAATGGACGTATTAAGGCATCTTATCTCTCTCATCAAGAGTATCTATGAAAATAACAGAGCGTACGTAAGAGTGGACAGACCCATTCCAGGTAGAGAAGGATGTCAGGCAGGGATGTATACTGAGATCTCTCTTGTTCAACTCTCTAGTGAATGGGTCATGAGGAAAGCTCTGGAAGACTGGATGAATAACCCTGGGGGGCAAAAAGATTAACAACATTCGCTACGCTGATGACACTACAGCAATTGCGGCATCAGAGGACGAATTATGCGACCTGATCAAGCGAATAGAGCAGCATTTCAGCAAGAAGATTGGTCTGAGAACACATAAAAAGAAAACCAAAATTATAGTTGATAGTTGACCGAGCTAACAACAATAGACCAGAAAGAAAGAAAATAAATAACATCGACACAGTCAACATTTCCATTTTTCTAGGTTCACTAATTTTGACGTGAAGAGATCAAGAGAAGCTCCATAGCAAAGCAAGCTATGACTAAACTAACAAACATATGGAGAAGTCATAAAATCACTTTGGCAACAAAAATGAGACTGGTAAGGAGCCTGGTCTTCTCAATCTTTCTCTATGGGTCAGAATGCTGGTCGCTCAAAGTAATGGACAAAAAAAATTGACGCCCTGGAAATGCGCCCTGTTGGCGTAGAATGATGAGAATCACGTGAACACAAAAAAGAACCAATGAATAAATTTTTCAACAAATAAAACTAGACTAAGAACAATAGTAGCTGAAAACATCGCAACATTTTTTGGCCACGTAGTACGAGGAAAAGGCCTTGAAAGACTAACCGTTGAGGGCATGGTAGCCGTAAAAAGACCCCGAGGTAGGCCCCCACTATATATGCGGACCTCATCACTAAGATCACAGGACAAAGTCTAGCCTGCACATTCAGGATGGCAGAGAACAGAGAGGGGTGGAGATATATTGTAGAGAGCAACACTTGAAAGCACGATTATCGAGTACGAGATAGCGACTAAGAAGAAGAAGACCCAAATCATGTTACTTTTAAGGACTCGTAGATTAAGTAGCAGTGGGAGGTTTTAAAGCCTTATCTGGTAATAAATATGTTCACAAGTTAAGTTAAAGAAATAATCCTCGAAGAAGGACGGCACTTTCGATCGTTACTTCATCGCCTTCGATAATGTTCACCACATATGTGTATATGAACGAAAACACATAAAGCAACACCAAATGTCCAATGCATATAAACTCGGTAAACTTTTCAGCCGACTCTTTGAGCAGTTCCAAAAGTTTGAGTCGCGTGTGGTTTCTTATTCTACAGCAAACTACCTAACAAGGAAAGTAAAAAATAACTGCTACAGTTTTTAGACCATTTTATTGGCTGAGGCATTTATGTTACATTTATATTTAAGTACTTTTACACATTTATAATAGGTATCAGGATAGATAGTAGTCACTCAAATTTCTTCTGAAATGCAACTCTTTCATATATATCTTTTTTCTTAAGTAGCACGTCTCTGATTATCTAGAAGTATCGTATTGTACATCGTGTCGGATTTTCGGTATTATAATATTACAATAATTCCATCCCAGAGTTGCGAATAAATTTTAATTTGCCGAAAAGGTTTACGCTTAGAATGCAGAATCCTAAGTTGACGCGCCTTTCGCATTTATGAGAAAACTGTCAACAGTAGAGTTTTATCAGTCAACAAATTTATTACAAAAATATTTAGGCCGCCAAATTTACTATTTATGTCTAAAACCAGTCTTGCAAACCCAGTCGGTAAATTAAGCGACTTTTAACACATTTCGGTCATGAAGGATTTAGAGGAGGGTACAGAGGTATATGTGTGACTTGTCTATTCTAATATGTGCTTTTTAGAGTCTCAGAGCGGCCAACAGAAAACATTTTAACGAAAAATGTTTTTTGTTGTAGCAAATTTAGTTATGCGTAACAGTGCATTGGTGAAGGTATTTAAAACAATGAAATATGAAATTTAGATAAATTAGTGCATTTTCTACAGAGTTTCCATTCACTCCAATAACATCGATAAACTAAATAAAATTTTAAAACCAAAACAAATTCAAAATTACAGGAGTTATGTTGATTGACACGACATTGATATTATTGAACATGAAGGTGCATCTGCGGTAAAAAATCGACTCCTTAAATTCATCTGACCGATTATGAATAAAATTGAATAAAAATAGTTAGATGTGTTATCACAAGTACCTTCATATCCTACTAATTGCAAGTGATTGTGTCTCTTTGAGGATTCGCAGTTATCTTTATGTAACACACATTATTAAAACAATTTAATATGCGAACAATGGCGACAAAATTTGAAGAAATTGTACTTCCTCACAGTTCATTGAGCCTATGAGTTTATGAATAATTTTAAGTTCCTTCTTTAGAATATTTCAGCTTTGAAATTGTTCTTCAGCAGCAAATTTAATTGTAATTGCTTAGCTGCAGTTAAGTTTAATTATTGAAGAAACTTAAAAATTCCAGTAAATATGTTATATTATTGCGATCGTTACAAATGATATTTAGTTTGTATTACTTTCAGTTGCTTGCTACGACATACGACAAAAGCGGAACAGTCAGTTTTTTCTCTAGCAAGAAAAATAAACCAGTTTAGCAAATAACAAGAATTTCGTTTCCCGGTATTACAAATTTTTGTTCTAAGCTAAACTGATAAGAATAATGCAGTTAAACACTCAAACAAACAAGTTGCTCTTTTCCAACCGTTAATTTTGCCCTTTTTTATCGCAGATGGCAAGATTAACTTGGCAAATACATTTTTTTTAAGTTGATAAGACCAGAGCTCGAAATTGCTTGTTCCGTTCACACAAATGAAAGCTTTGTCTTGACGGTCATCATACATGGAAGAATTTTAGGTCAAGAGCATATCTGGATTTTAGGAAGGACCATTCCCTTTCTCCCAAAATAAAGTATTACGTTTTACAAAATTATACTTTTCTATTCATTCCTAATTAAGGAGTCCCGATTAACGATGCATCTTGACTGTTTTATGGACAACGTAAACAGTTGAAACAATTATACTTCGCATAATATCAATATCAATCTACTTTTATCACATCAAGGAATATTTATATGGAATTAATGTATGTAATTAAGCGCACGCTTATGTGGCGGGTAAATAACAAGAATGTATAAGAATATAAACAAAAAAGCGGATCACCCTTTGTTGAAACATGTGCATATAAACGAATTATTATTAACAACAAATTAGAAAGTGCGAAAAGTGCTGTAGTGCAGTTTATACTTTCTCTAAAACTACGTCAGGAACAATACTTCGTCGATTACATTTAACAACTTGTTTTTTGCCCATTCAAGGGCTGTAACGTCACACTTTTTGTTTCACCGACATATTTTTTATTTTGAAATTTCAATTTTGTAGGTGTATTAAAAATAAAAGAAGAAAAAAGTATGAATCAATTGTTACACTCGCGTTCGGTCACTTCTGTTGCTGCTTTTCCCCGCTAAAAAGTCTTATTATATTTTTATAAAAGCTTTCTGCCATGTATTGAGGTAGTTAACGAGTGCTTCAAGTTTATAAAAATAAAATTTATTGATAAATAAAAATCTTGAATTAAAATTTATATAATATCAAAGAATTTGTCTCATTAGGCAGCCAATAGGACTATGACAAAATGATGATCAAAAGATTAAAATATTTTCATGCAGTTGTGTGCACTGCTTTTTTAACAAGTTTAGATTTTGCGACACAGTTAAGGACTTTTTATAATATGGTTTATCATTATAATTTAGGCCATTTTCTCGTTTATATTCGATTTAACGAATTAGCATTAATAAATCCATTCACCTCAGTTTTTTAAATAATTAAATATCGTTGCGTATGTACCTTATTATGAACAATTTCAAATGAATTTGAGGATAACTTTTAATGGGACTCGACGATGTTAGAACATATTAGATTTTAACTCTGAGATTTATGGCTAAAATGATTTTAAAAATAATTGGTGCTGTTCACGAGTGTAACATCCCCGAATAAAATTTTTTCATGGAACGTTCAGCTCTCTTTAAAGGTTTTATTTCTAGTATATAGGCCGTCTCCAGTTTTCGTATTCACTTTTATTGAATCACTTGAATTAAAAATAAATAACAGCTTACTATGGATGATTTCTACTTTCAGTACCAACTCTTGAGGAATGTAAATAATCAGACTTTCATTGCACATCTGTATAGATAAATGAAAACTAACTTTAGTCTATGTTTGATATTTGCCTAGACTTTAAGTGCTTATCCATTTGATATATTTGAATTTGCACCGTTCAATTAGTTACTTTAGGTAATTTTATCCCTGTTTTGATCTACGCTTTTAATTTTGGTATCTTGGAAGTTCAGCGAAAAGTAAACATATTTCAGATCCTCTGTATTGAACGCTTGAAGAGGAAACTGAACTTGAAAGTTTTTGACTATTCCTTTAGGTGTCAAGATCTTAATTTTATTATCATTTAGTTTTTAGTTAGTTTAGAGTATCCTGTTTTTTCATTTATTGTTCAGTTTTACTGTTTCGTAAAATTCCGTGTTTGTTCTTTTACTTTTCCTTTCAATTACGCGTTAAAAGTGCTGTACTGTGTAAAATATGATTTTTGATACGGAAATAAAAGCAATATCCAAATATATTAATATTTATTTATTGATATTTAGGGATTTGAGTTCTCTTTTTTAATTTAAGATTGAAATATTTCTAATTTGAAGAATAGAACCTTTTTCTTTTACAACAGAACTTTTTTGCTGGCCAAAAAAACTTACTTCTTTAAGACGTGTTTGCAATAGCCCAGGATTTTTTTATTTCCGCTCTATTTTAATTGCAATTATTTTATTCTAAAATAAATAACCTATTTATTTATTTTGGAATAAAATAATTAAGATTTAAAAAGTGCCCTCGAAAATAGACACGAACAATAAGTAAAAAGTCAATTTGTGTGGGGTTTAGCACAGTTTTGCAGATTTCAATTTAGTTTATAGTGCTAGCATTTTTAAAAATCCAAACAGATTTTTTTTAAAGAACAGTACACTTTTTATATTGATTTTCATTAGTTTAGCACGGTTTATTTAATTTAATTAATTTTTGAGAAAAATTGCAGTTACATAGATACGTTCTAAAACCGATTGCCTCATGGGGTTGTATTAATAGTATTAATATGAAGCTTTTTATGATTGTTGAGATATCGACTGCGATATTTTTATAGGTTTATTAAACGCTAAAGAGCTTTTTTGTATTAATTAAATGTTGCTTTTAAAATTCATTTCTGTATTGGGATTAATAAACATAGTCTCAAATACAAGAAGCCACATAAAGGTCTCTCTAATAGGTACTTATGGGATGGGAATATGTAATTTCCACTTTACCTTGACAGGTTTATGTAATGAGCAATTCCAAACGTTCACAAAATATTTGCGAAACGTATAACGGTCAAAATTACACGATTGAATTTTCAAGTGCCATTGTTTAAATACCCAATAATTTTAATTGTTCTATTATTCTAAACCCATTTGTATTAAATTTTCTTTGTAGATTCCAATTGAATCTTTCAAGCACATTTTGGTACAACAAACAGAATACATTTTCAACCAAATCAAAACAGGTTCCCAGCCTCGGAATAATTACCTAAAACGTCTAATCAATAAGCAATCAATAACTTCAACTGTATGTGCTTGTGCATAACCGTAACCTAACTACATCGAAAGCATAATGTTTTAATAATTGAGTTTTAGATAATGGAAACACCTAGTAGCATACCATTTAATCCTCTAGAATATATTAACACCCACACTAACATCTATGTGCAATTTTTTTTAGCTGAAGTTATTGAGTTTAAGTAGAAAAATATAGTTTATTTTCTTTGATAATAATGAAAAGTCGAGGCAAATTATAGCATCCTAATGTGAAATATTAACAACTGTAACAATAATAAATATGTAGCAAATGTCTATATGAAATACATAACTGTTAACAATTGGAATAGAGCCGAGCAAAAATGGAAACCTATATGGTATCATGATTGTTTGATCTCAGTTGTTTAACAAAAATAAAATAATAAGAATCGAATAAAATGATCCATAAAAAATTAAACAATGGAAAATTATACCCGATAAACGAGCAGGATAAATAAACTATTCCACACTACAGAGGACTTCTGTAAATGAACCCCTGAGAGATGCATTTTGCTATTAACGTGAAAAATAGAACCAAATATTTATCCGTAAGGCCTTCAGATTATTTAGTTGAGGGGCTGGTTTACTTTTGCAAAATATGAAGTAGGTATACTAAACTTGGAAAATGAACTACATGACTAGCGACAGCACTACGGAGAGACTAAATAAATTGCTTATACTTTACATATAAGTATGGGAGTGCGCTAGGTGTGTTAGGATATAAATTTCCGCCATTCATTGTAACACTTTTGGTCATTTAAAAACAAACTCGCCTTCGAACAGATTGCAGTGGAGTTTGAGCAATTAAACAAATATACGAAATAAACTTCCTGCAGAATCAACGAGTTATCATGAATGCATGTCTATCTATATCACATAAAAGTGGCTTCGGTTAATCCCAATAAAACTAGCGCATCACAATTGTCATAAGAATGAAGATTAAAGGATGCTTAATTGGTTGTTCTCCGTAGCTGAAGCTAGCGAAGTCTTGTTGCTCTCTGAAAGTATACTAGACGAAGTTGGGCTGAAGTTGAACCATTTTGGAGTTGTCTGGACCTGACTGGCGGACGCCCCAAAATAGTGGGCGAGGGCATGGTTGCTTAGCGTCCTCGCGCCCATCGCAATAGTGCGTCTGCCAATACGTCTAGATGTGCCTTTGTCTGAAAGCAGAACACTTTTTAGTAAAAATCTCTTTTATTCATTACTCAAATTCAGTTCATTTGTTGACTGCCACAGATTCTCCCCAAAACATATCCTCCAAGTAAGTTCAGTGAATATTTTTGGATGTGGGGTATCTTGAAAATATTTGACCAATATCAATATAGGGCAGGGGTCGGCAATCTGAGGCTCAGGCTTGAACAGTTTAATAGTACATCTTGAAAACATAACTGGAGTTTCGAAATTGCCAAATAACTATAACAATCCTGCGCACATATCAAAATGCGCGGCAGATCCAGAATACTAAATTATATCTTTCTAGTGTAAAGTACGCCTCATCAATATTCCGCTACTCACAACGGAAGTATTACTTAATCAGTAAAGAAACATCACATGGTAGCAGCTAAAAATTGCAGTAAATGTCTGAATACTGGCCTCTGTGTGCCAAGAACTTGTGTACGGAAATCGGGAGAAGTCCTGTGAGTACACTGTGTGAGTGACTTTTTGATACAAAGTTTTTCCTGCTCCATTGTAAAATGGTTTTTTAAACTCATATTTATTCTCGACGAGCTCCGACTGTTTAGGATCAAAGGTAATATTTTGGAACGTCCGAAAATTGTCACTCCTAAGTCAAAAATAAGACACAGATCCAGAAACTGCCACTGACATAAGAAAGTTTTCAGTTCTAAAGATTTTTCAACAAAATAGTATCTTAATTCCGACTATTTATCGCCGGTGCAGAATTTATTAGAAGAAGACCATTACATCCACAGGTAAGTGTGCAAATTGCTAACTTCCTTTGTCACCAAAGCAAAGTCGTTTTCATGTTTTGTAGCTAAATTTTATTAAGATTTTTTTAGGAGATGATGCAACTTTAATTTTATAAACAATCATTTATAAGATGTTGCAATCCATCATTCAGTAGATGAGCGTAATTTCTAACATCGCTTTTAAATTCGATGTTCATTTTATCTAGTTTTATGGATTACCACCAAATTTGAATAGCAACTGGTACATAAAAGCTCTCCAAACTCGATCATTTTATTATTTCAATAATGCGTCGTTGAAACTGATGACGCATCATTTAATTTTGCTGCATTTCAGCACTTAGGAATTAAGTGGTTGCATTGGCCGACGCGAAGTGCTGACTTTAACCCATCAGATTTTTGTGTTTGGTCTTATTTATCAATTTGACGTTATTTCAAATTGAAAAGTATGATCAAACGGTAGACACCCGAGATTAGGCACAATACGATACTGAGAAAGTATCGATACTTACTCAAATGAGTAGTAACCAAATCATCTTGCGATACTACTCATATGAGTATTCTGAAAGTAGCGATACTTACTCACATGAGTAGTAACCAAATCGTCTTGCAATACTGCTCATATCAGTATTCTAAAAGTATCGAAACCATTACCTAAGTATGAAATACCTACTTGTATTTACTTGTATCAAATCATCCCTATCTAAGAGGCGGCATCTTCACGTAAGGGTGTTATAACGCATATTAATCTAATTGATCTAGTCGTAAATATGGAACCATATAAAAGTCAGGCGGGGTCAGTAAGGGTGATATAACTCACGTTTAATGATGTTTATCACTTTTCACTATTTTCAGTTCAGTTAAGACGATTGACAACAGTCTTGACTGTGATAGTGTTTACAGTTTTGATAATTTGATTATTTACGACGATACAATACTTCGATTCGATACGAGTACTTTATTTCGATACCAAGTATTGGTATCGAAAGAACGATTCAATTACCAAGTACCAAGTACTCGGTATCGAAACAAAAGTATCGAATACCTACTTGTATTTACTTGTATCGAATCATCCCTAGCCGAGATGAGTTGCCGAAGGAAATTAGCAATGCCGCCAAAGTATTTCAAAAATAAAAAAAAATATAAATATGTTTTTTAGTTATTGTTAATGATGTTAAACTAAAAAGATTTTACTGATAAAAAATGGTTAAATAATACTGCATTTTGCGGTTTAATCGTAAATATCTCAGAAATAAATGCTTGTTGGGACATTGACTAAGAATGCCTTTTTTGTGTAAAATGAATAAGCGACTAGATCTAGGCATTTTAAAAGTCTGCGTACAGGGCAACCAAAACTTGCAGCCATTTTCTTGCTCAGATATCGCGGTAGGCAGCTTTTACGACCAGTTTTTCCCAACCTGTGTACGGAAACATTTTTCCGCAAAAATCGGCCATTTTGTTTTGTATCATTAATATCGGAACACCCTGTATATGTATTAGTCCAATATTATTTCTATCGGAGTTGCAACTTTGTCAAGCATTAAAACGAGATTGTGGAGCTCCAGTTATAGTGACCTTCCCAGTTTTTCAGTTTATTATCAGTTTTACTGTTGGGGAATAATGCTGTTGGCAGTAAGCGGCTATGATCCCACAAGGATATTTTCTTACAGGCAGATACGGTATAATATCCTTTTGCTGTGGTAGTTACAAAAACATCTATCAGCTTATAATGATAAAACATGCTAAAAATGTAAAAACCGATTTTCATGGTAAAATAAAGCAAATGTACATATTTGAACAGATCATTTCCTAAGCCGCTCCAGTGAGTTTCGAAAAGCCCAAGTAACATTCACCAATTGACTATATTTCAATGCATTTGAATTCAATTTAATGTTGAAACCTGAACAGTTCAATTTGTTTCGCAGAAATTATAAGTACTATTGTACATATTATGATGAAACATATGAATCAAAAGCTCAGAATACTAAAGTTGAATTATTTAACAAACAATAACATTTTTTAAGTACAGTTTTACTTTACGCATTATTACTTCCAAGCTACAGGATGTCATCAAATCTAGTGTACCTATAACTTTCGAACGCTGGAAAATAGTAAAATAAAATTTTGAAGCTCTCTAAACTTATTGTATCACAGTTTAGCACAATTATTTTATTGAAAAAACAGCTAATTCGGTATTACTAAAGGAATTGAATAGAATTCAACTTTTATGAACTATTCGAATGCACAAGTTTGTGTGATTTAATGGTCTGCATGTGTAATGAAAATTTAATCTTATAGTCGCAAGCTGAATGAACTCGTAGATAAACAAACATATGTTCTACACAGAGACAAACAAACGCAATTTCGTAATTCAATCAATTGTTGGGATTAATTAATGAACCCATCTTTTATTCTACGTGCTTTACCGTCACGATCGTTAGTCTAAAAATAATAAAGCGACCTGTAGGAATGAGGAATAATTCATGACAAAATCGAACAATTGCGATCAATAATTCGAGGGATTTTGCGCTGGCTGTATCAATAATATCAGTATTATATTCTTCAATGATTGAACATTTTGAGTTCAGTGTTTGTCAAATACATAATTTATTGCATTAGTTTTAGCAATATTTAAACGCCTTATTCAAATATCCATTCGGCACGTTTTTAGGACTTCGATAGAGCACTGAAACATTGCAAAAATCACGTGGAAAACCGGAAGTGTTATTGAGGAGGAAACGTGGAATATGTGTCGTATGGTAAAAATCTATTAATAATTTCATAATTATTCAATCAGGTTAAATAACTGCTTTAAGTAGATAATTGATCAAACTACTTATATAACAATTCAGTTAAAAATCTTAAAAAAAAAGATTCACATTTTTTGATACCATTTAAAATACTTAATATACGTGAACTAAAAAATCCTTCTTACTAGCTGAATAAATAAAAGTTACAGTAAAAGAACACTTTGGCATAAAATATTCATGCTCCAACCGAAATGTTTTCTATAAAGTTGTTCTGTTTGCCGATTCCTTTTCTATTTTCATATTCATTCAGAAAATACCGTGGAAAGAATCGATACGCCGGACACGTGTCATCCTTCGGGCAAAAGCAGCAAATCAGAAATAGAGATAAAATCCGGACGAATAAAAAAACCTCACACAAGCTGGAATAAATGCTTAAGGCCATCTCATAATATCATTCATATGCCAATAAAAGGGTCTGAGTCGGATCAACAACAGTAGAGAGAAAACCCAAAGGCAATGAAGCATGAACTATAAAGAGACATGGGTTAACACAGATTTCTAATATATGTACTTAAATAAATGAACGCGAACAATAATTTTTGCCATTAGTAGAATCTTATTACTACTCTTGGGTTAATTTTCGGAATTATGTAATGGCTCTATAAAGCGTTCTGAAAGTTCTTAATATAAAGACGTTTTCACATTTATAATAATCAACAGAATTAGAAGAAAAGGTGTAACAAATAATATCGCATTTAATTAAATGCAATACAGCCCCTGTACATTACAAAATTAATAGAAAACTGATTCATAGTTAACTTCAGTTGTAATAAAGGTTAAAATAGGTGTAAACGAAGTGAAAACCTATTTTAGATATATTGCATAAATTCTTTTCCATTGCTCATTCAAAAGGTTCATTATGTTACAAACATTCTAGAGCAACTCGAAATCTTTATACAATTTTACAACAAAACAATTACAACAAAACTTTATAATCAATTGCAATAATCCTAATCACTTAATATTTACTATACCTCATGCTTGGTACATTCTGTGTCTTACAAATTCTAGTCCGAGAATGGTGAAATATTTACCACAATATTAGAGCAGCACACAATTATATGTGACAACAAATTTCCAGATTCAGACAAGATTAGAGAGCAAAAACACTTCAAGAATAAAGTATTTGCTAATATGCAAAAAATGCTTATTATAATTGGAAATTCATATAGAAATTAAAACATAATGACAAACAAAGCTGTGTTTCAATCAATTGTTTTAAAATCGAATTAAAAGTGATAGTCAAATGGATTTTTTCGGCAAAACACAAACATTTGTATGCTTGAAAACTGCTAATCGTGGGCTTATTCTGTGTATCAATTGTATTTCGGTGGGCTAACTAGGTTGTGGTGTATTTTTTAATTTTTTCAATTATTTTAAAAGAAATACATTCGAAAAATCCGCAGCGTCTTGAATAATACAGTG